ATATATATATAATACTATAATATAATATACGTACATACATACATACATACATACATACATACATACACACATACATACATACATACACACATACGTACATACATACATGCATGCATACTTATTTACATCCATCCATCCATACATACATACATACATACATACATACATACATACATACATATATACATACATCCATACATACATACATACGTACATACATACATACATATATACATACGTACGTACGTACGTACATACATACATTACATACATACATACTTACATACATACATATGTACATACATACATAAATACATGCATACATCATGCATGCACACATACGTACATACATACATTTATATATGCATACATTTTTTTTTGAATACATAGTAAGTGGTGGCACGAAAGGTGCCACACACTACTACACTAGTAATGTTTTGTGTATATGAACCTCTACATCGCCTCGCAATCAACAGATCGATGAGATGTCGCAACAATTCAGCACGCTCTTCCGTCAAATAGTCGAGTGGGACTACGCCGCGGTGCCCGACAACGACACCTACTTCTACCTGCGCCAAGACCCCACCGAGACCTCTGACGATGCGTCGCACGAAACGCACCCGGCCCAAGTAAAAGGACCGGTCCCAAATAAAGGTCACGGGCCGGGAGAATCTGACGGACACAGGAATGGCGGTAGAAAGAGAGGTGCACAACCCCCGCTGTTTGTAACCATTGTGTGCATTGCCAAACCTAACCCACGCACACCCGCCTCGTCTGCGGCGGCATCACCCAGCCCCCCCGCCACACCGGACCATCCACCTGCACACACCCCCCCCCTCAGCCCTACAAGCACGGCACGAGATGCAAACGCCCCGGGCTCAGGGTTTGGGGACGGGTATATCAATGAGGTCAAAGTGGCCCCAACCCTCTCGTCGTCGGTGCAGGACTGCCTGTCCCGAACTAGTACCGACCCAGTCAATGCGCGTGCGGAGCACGTCAGTGCCGTAGGGGCCGGCCCGTCCCCCAAACCGGATTTAGGACCGGGTGAAGGTGTCCGAAAACCCACCCCGCCCCCATTGCCGGTCACTCGTGCCAGCTCACTGGCCCATCCGACGGCAGACCCCGACACCCACAGTCCATCCACAGGCCCACCCGCGTCTTCGCATGTGCCACTAGACAATACCTTGCGCGCATGTAGTACAGCCCCTACACCGCCATGCAACCCCCTGTCCCGTCCCCACTCCACACAGCTGCTGAGTGCGCTCGCACCTGTCGCTGAGTCGGGGCCTCAGACCCAGCCAGTGCCCACGGAGGCGCGCTTCTTTGTGCTCAATAACACGCTGACGGATTTGTTTGAGTACTTACAGGTGTGGGTATTAGCGCGTGGCGTAATGGGTGGGTGTGATGGAATGGTGTACTGGTGTTGCATGTGTGTGTTTGAGATGGAATGGTTTACTGGTTGTGCATATGTGTTTGTGCGTGTATGTATGTGTGTGTGTGTATATGTATGTATGTATTTTGTATGTATGTATGTATGTATGTGTGTGTGTGTATATGTATGTATGTATGTATGTATGTATGTATGTATGTATGTATATATATATGTGTGTGTGTGT